GACAACAAACTTCTTGACCCTTTACAGTCTGGCTTTCGCTCACTACACTCCATTGAAACTGCCCAACTAAAACTCACTAATGATCTACTAACTGCTAAAACCAATGGCTACTATTCAATACTCCTACTACTCAACCTCTCCGTGGCTTTTGATACGGTTGACCATCCCCTCCTCCTCAAAAAACTCCACTCTCTTGGCCTCAGCGACTTCACTTTCTCCTGGTTCTCCTCCTACCTATCGCAGCGCTCCTTCAGTGTTACCTATAACGCTGCCTCCTCCTCTTCACTCCCTCTCTCTGTAGGGGTCCCTCAAGGTTCTGTCCTTGGACCCCTTCTCTTCTCCATCTACACCTCCTCCCTTGGTCACTTGATAAACTCCCATGGCTTTAAGTACCATCTCTATGCTGATGACACACAAATCTATCTTTCAACCCCTCACCTCACTCCTTCAGTCTCCTCCTCCTCACCTCACCCCTTCAGTCTCCTCTCACATTACTAACCTACTAAGTGACATATCGGCATGGATGTCACTCCACTTCCTCAAACTCAATCTTTCCAAAACTGAGCTCTTAGTATTCCCCCCAGCCCATGCCCCCTCCCTGACTTCTCAATCAAGATCGATAACACAGTCATCAGTCCCTCCCCTCATGCCAGGGTACGAGGTGTAATCCTAGACTCCCATCTGTCCTTTCAGCCCCAAATCCAATCACTGTCCAAATCTTGTAGACTTCACTTGCGCAACATCTCCAACTTCCGCAACATCTCCAACCTCCACAAAAGCTCCGACCTCCACAACATCTCCAAGATACGCCCATTCCTAACCTCGGAAACCACTAAGCAATTTATTCACTCCCTTGTTATATCTCGCCTTGACTATTGTAACTCCCTCCTCACTGGCCGACCTCATCACAGGCTATCCCCTCTTCAGTCTATCATGAATGCTGCTGCCAGACTCATCCACCTTACTAACCGTTCTGTATCTGCCACCCATCTCTGCCAATCCCTCTACTGACCTCCACTCAGTGTCCTCCATCCCCCTCTGCCAATCCCTCCACTGACCTCCATTCAGTGTCCTCCACCTCTCTCTGCCAATCCCTCCACTGGACTCCACTCAGTGTCCTCCACCCCTCTCTGCCAATCCCTCCACTGACCTCCATTCAGTGTCCTCCACCCCTCTCTGCCAATCCCTCCACTGGCTTCCCGTTGCCCAACGGATAAAATTCAAAACACTAACAATAACATATAAAGCCATTTATAACTCTGCCCCAAATTACATCACCGATCTTGTCTCTAAATATCACCCAAACCGTACTCTCCGCTCCTCGCAAGACCTCCTACACTCTAGCTCCCTTGTCTCCTCCTCCCATGCTCGGCTCCAGGACTTCTCCAGAGCTTCCCCCCATCCTCTGGAACTCTCTACCCCAATTTATCAGACTATCGCCTACTCTGCTCACTTTTAGGCGATCTCTGAAAACCTATCTCTTCAGGAAAGCCTATCCTGCCCTCAGCTAATAATGGAATTGTCTACTTTTCCAACCAGTCCATCCCCCACAGTTATTACCTTTTGTACCACCAGCCCCTCCCTCCTAGATTGTAAGCTCCCAGGATCAGGGCCCTCCTATCCCTCTTGTAATGAACTGTATTGTTGCTGTATTGTCTCCCGTTATATTGTAAAGCGCTGAGCAAACTGTTGGTGCCATATAAATCCTGTATAATAATAATGTTCCTGGTGTCATTGGGGTTCCCGGCTGACTGGAAAAAGAGAATTGTCAGCATTGCCAAGCAAAAAAAAACAGCATAGGGTCCCCCCTCCCATCCATACCAAACCATACACCATTTTTTAAAAATGGCGTTTGGGTCCCCCCCCCCAAATCCATACCAGACCCTTATCTGAGCATGCAGCCCAGTAGGTCAGGAAAGGGGGGAGGGGGGGTGAGCATGCACCCCCCCTCCTGACCTGTACCAGACCACATGCGCTCAACATAGTGGAGGTGCTTTGGAGCATGTTATGTTCGACTCGCACATACAGCCCATCGCTACAGGGGATCGGTTCCAGTAACTGCAACCGTGCCAATCACCCTCCGTGCCCACATCCGATTCACCCACCTGCCCACACCCCCCTGCTGGCTTGGATCCCTGTAAAGGAGGACTGGTGGTACCCCCTTATCCACAGCCCTGCTGGTGTTTCACCACTACTGCCCTGTTCACACTGCGACGCAACACATATTACCACTATAGACAGGTTAGAGCAGGGGTCTCCAAACTTTATAAACAAAGGGCCAGTTTACTGTTCATCAGACGTTCGGGGGGCCGGACTTTGGCCAATGGGAGTAGAAATTGTCCTGGCATCAGTAGGAGTAAACAATGCATCTTTGGTATTAGTGGGAGGAATAGTGCCCCATCATTAGTGTCAGTGGGAGGAATAGTGTCCCATCATTGGTGTCAGTGGGGGGAATAGTGCCCCATCATTGGTGTCAGTGGGAGGAATAGTGCCCCATCATTGGTAGCAGTGGGAGGAATAGTGCCCCATCATTGGTGTCAGTGGGAGGAATAGTGTTCCATCATTGGTGTCAGTGGGGGGAATAGTGTCCCATCATTGGTGTCAGTGGGGGGAATAGTGCCCCATCATTGGTGTCAGTGGGAGGAATAGTGCCCCATCATTGGTAACAGTGGGAGGAATAGTGCCCCATCATTGGTGTCAGTGGGAGGAATAGTGCCCCATCCTTGGTATCAGTGGGAGGAATAGTGCCCCATCATTGGTATCAGTGGGAGGAATAGTGCGCCCTCATTGGTGTCAGTGGGAGGAATAGTGCCCCATCCTTGGTATCAGTGGGAGGAATAGTGCCCCATCATTGGTATCAGGGGGAGGAATAGTGCCCCATCATTGGAATCAGTGGGAGGAATAGTGCCCCATAATTGGTGTCAGTGGGAGGAATAGTGCCCCATCATTGGTGTCAGTGGGAGGAATAGTGCCCCATCATTGGTATCAGTGGGAGGAATAGTGTCCCATCATTGGTATCAGTGGAAGGAATAGTGACCCATCATTGGTATCAGTGGGAAGAATAGTGCCCCATCATTGGTGTCAGTGGGAGGAATAGTGCCCCATCATTGGTATCAGTGGGAGGAATAGTGCCCCATCATTGGTATCAGTGGGAAGAATAGTGCCCCATCATTGGTATCAGTAGGAGGAATAGTGCCCCATCCTTGGTGTCAGTGGGAGGAATAGTGCCCCATCATTGGTGTCAGTGGGAGGAATAGTGCCCCATCATTGGTATCAGTGGGAGGAATAGTGTCCCATCATTGGTGTCAGTGGGAGGAATAGTGCCCCATCATTGGTGTCAGTGGGAGGAATAGTGCCCCATCATTGGTATCAGTAGGAGGAATAGTGCCCCATCCTTGGTGTCAGTGGGAGGAATAGTGCCCCATCATTGGTGTCAGTGGGAGGAATAGTGCCCCATCATTGGTATCAGTGGGAGGAATAGTGTCCCATCATTGGTGTCAGTGGGAGGAATAGTGCCCCATCATTGGTGTCAGTGGGAGGAATAGTGCCCCATCATTGGTATCAGTGGGAGGAATAGTGCCCCATCATTGGTATCAGTGGGAGGAATAGTGCCCCATCATTGGTGTCAGTGGGAGGAATAATGCCCCATCATTGGTATCAGTAGGAGGAATAGTGCCCCATCATTGGTGTCAGTGGGAGGAATAGTGCCCCATCATTGGTGTCAGTGGGAGGAATAGTGTCCCATCATTGGTATCAGTGGAAGGAATAGTGCCCCATCATGGGTATCAGTGGGAGGAATAGTGCCTCATCATTGGTATCAGTGGAAAGAATAGTGTCCCATCATTGGTATCAGTAGGAGGAATAGTGCCCCATCATTGGTATCAGTGGGAGGAAAAGTGTCCCATCATTGGTGTCAGTGGAAGGAATAGTGCCCCATCATTGGTGTCAGTGGGAGGAATAGTGCCCCATCATTGGTATCAGTGGGAGGAATAGTGCCCCATCATTGGTATCAGTGGGAGGAATAGTGCCCCATCATTGGTGTCAGTGGGAGGAATAGTGCCCCATCATTGGTATCAGTGGGAGGAATAGTGCCCCATCATTGGTATCAGTGGGAGGAATAGTGCCCCATCATTGGTGTCAGTGGGAGGAATAGTGTCCCATCATTGGTATCAGTGGGGGGAATAGTGCCCTATCATTGGTATCAGTGGGAGGAATAGTGCCCCATCATTGGTGTCAGTGGGAGGAATAGTGTCCCATCATTGGTATCAGTGGGAGGAATAGTGCCCTATCATTGGTGTCAGTGGGAGGAATAGTGCCCCATCATTGGTATCAGTGGGAGGAATAGTGCCCCATCATTGGTATCAGTGGGAGGAATAGTGCCCCATCATTGGTATCAGTGGGAGGAATAGTGCCCCATCATTGGTGTCAGTGGGAGGAATAGTGCCCATCATTGGTATCAGTAGCAGTAATTATGCCCCATTGCTGGTGGGAGGAAAGGAATAGAGTCTTGTATCAGTGGGAGGAAAAGTGCCCCAAGGGCCAGATAAAGGCAAGCAAAGGGCCACATCCGGCCCCGGGCCGCAGTTTCGAGACCACTGGGTTGGAGGCAGGGAAACAATTCATCACCAGAGCCAACTACAGACGCTCAACACGTGAAACAGTCACTAGGCGAAGATTTTTCTGGGCAGACACTTAGCAGACATAATACAGGGAGGTACAAAATCAGTCAATCAGCCTGTATGAGCAGGGGGAGGAGCTGATACCACTGGAGGGTTCCACCACCAATGCACTACTGCCCATAGAAACCGCAACCCAGACTAGGACCAACAATGGCTGCTATAGAAAGGATGCTGACTACACGACACTAACAAGATCGGTAGTGATGAGGACTAATTACTGCTACAGGGAGCGAAAAAAAAATGTCTTAACCTGTAATTTTATTGCCCTCCCCGGGTGCAACACATGAACAGGACAACTTGTCACAAGACAGGTATACCCACCTTTCGCCATATTCTCGATGTCTTTTTCTACAAACTGTGTCCCGGTGACATCGATCGGACTGTCTTCTTCCCCTGTCAGGAAAAAGAATGAACAGTAATTCTACAAAAGAAAGATACAGAATTGTCTTTTATTAGTAACAAAGTAACAATTCAGTAGAACAATCAATATTAATCCCTTCACTGGCCTCCACTCAGTGTCCTCCACCCCTCTCTGCCAATCCCTCCACTGGCCTCCACTCAGTGTCCTCCACCCCTCTCTGCCAATCCCTCCACTGACCTCCATTCAGTGTCCTCCACCCCTCTCTGCCAATCCCTCCACTGACCTCCACTCAGTGTCCTCCACCCCTCTCTGTCAATCCCTCCACTCAGTGTCCTCCACCCCTCTCTGCCAAGCCCTCCACTAACCTCCACTCAGTGTCCTCCACCCCTCTCTGTCAATCCCTCCACTCAGTGTCCTCCACCCCTCTCCGCCAATCCCTCCACTCAGTGTCCTCCACCCCTCTCCGCCAATCCCTCCACTCAGTGTCCTCCACCCCCCTCTCCGCCAATCCCTCCACTCAGTGTCCTCCACCCCTCTCCGCCAATCCCTCCACTCAGTGTCCTCCACCCCCTCCGCCAATCCCTCCACTCAGTGTCCTCCACCCCTCTCTGCCAATCCCTCCACTCAGTGTCCTCCACCCCTCTCTGCCAATCCCTCCACTCAGTGTCCTCCACCCCTCTCTGCCAATCCCTCCACTCAGTGTCCTCCACCCCTCTCTGCCAATCCCGCCACTGGCCTCCACTAACCCAACGTATAAAATTCAAAATACTAACCACAGCTTACAAAGCCATCCACAACACTGCCCCTAGCTACATCACCAACCTCATCCACAGATAACGCCCAAATCGCCCACTCCGCTCTTCCCATGATATCCTCCTCTCTAGCTCCCTCATCACCTTCTCCCACGCTCGCCTCCAGGACTTCTCCAGAGCCTCTCCCATCCTCTGGAACTCCTTACCACAGCATGTCTGGGCAGCCCCCACCCTGTCTGCCTTTAGGCGATCTTTGAAAACTCACTTCTTCAGGGAAGCCTACCCCACCTCCACCTAAGAACTGTACTTGAATCACCTCCACCAGATCATCCCCTGCAGCTGTCACCTTTTTTATCCCCTCCCCCTTCCTTTAGATTGTAAGCTCCATGAGCCGGGCCCTCCTATTCCTTCTGTACTGAAATGTATTGTAATTGTACTAGCTCCCTTGTCTCCTCCTCCCATGCTCGTCTCAGGACTTCTCCAGAGCCTCCCCCATCCTCTGGAACTCTCTACCCCAGTTTATCAGACTATCGCCTACTCTGCACACTTTTAGGCGATCTCTGAAAACCTCTCCCTTCAGGGAAGCCTATCCTGCCCTCAGCTAATAATGGAATTTTCTACTCTTCCAACCACTTCATCCCCCACAGTTATTACCTTTTGTCCCACTAGCCCCTCCCTCTTAGATTGTCAGCTCCCAGGATCAGGGCCCTCCTAACCCTCTTGTATTGATCTGTATTGTTGCTGTATTGTCTCCCATTATATTGTAAAGTGCTGAGCAAACTGTTGGCGCCATAAATCCTGTATAATAATAATAATAATAATAATAATAATAATATGTATATATATTTTTTTTTTTCTATTAATATTTATTTATTTACTGAAATATATTTTGAAATATATTGAACATGGCCAAGATTGCAGTATTTCAAAAATATTTTTCTTCCATGTGGGTATTCTAAGACCTAGTACTGATAAAATTTTAGATTTAAAAAGGACAAATTTTGCTAAAATGTGTAAAGTTCTACGAAAATGAATGGAAGGGTTGGGGTCAAACGACGGGCGTAAGTAGTCGGTGGCCACTGCTAAAGTCTACCATCCTGGAGGCAAGTAGAATATACAGCATGTCAGGCAAATTATGAAGTTGAAAAAGTATTATCTTAGAAAGTATTATTTTCTTGAAAGAGTAGTTGATGCTCGGAATAAACTTCCAGCAGAGGTAGTGAGCCGGCCAACAGCTTTAAAACATGCTTGGGGCAAACATGGATCTATACTCAAAAAAGTTAACGAAAAGAAAATAAAAACAGGCAGACTCGACGGACCACTCAGACCTTTTTCTGTCGCTATGTTTCTATATTTCTACTCTCAAACAAAAAAGCTAAAGAAAAAAAAAACAAAAAAAAAAAACAACCCCCCCAACCCCCCCCCCCCCCCCCAAAAAAAAAACCAAAAAAGCAGGCATGGCCTTTTTTTTCTGTTGTAATGTTTCTATATTCAGACAAACAAGTTAACAAAAAAAACCAGAGAAAAAAAAAAACACAGGCAGACCGATGGACCACTCAGACTTTTTTCTGTCGCTATGTTTCTATATTTCTACACTCAGACAAAAAAGCTAAGGAAAAAAAAACAAACAAAAAAAAAAAAAACCCCCCCCCCCCCACCAAAAAAAACACCCCAAAAAAAGCAGGCATGGTCTTTTTTTCTGTTGTAATGTTTCTCTATTCAGACAAACAAGTTAACAAAAAAAAACAGAGAAAAAAAAAAAAACACAGGCAGACTCGATGGACCACTTGGACTTTTTTCTGTCGCTGTTTCTACACTGAGACAAAAAAGTTAAGAAAAAAAAACACAAACACCCCCCCCCCCCCCCAAAAAAAAAAGCAGGCCTTCTGCACTACTATGGGCCACTCAGACTTTTTTCTGTCACAATGTTTCTATGCTCAGACAAAAAAAAGTTAAAATGAAAAAAAAAAAAAACAGGCAGACTCAATGGGCCACTCAGACTTTTTTCTGTCGCTATACTCAGACAAAAAAAGTTTTAAATTAAAAAAAAAAAAAAAAAAAAAAACCAGGCAGACTCGATGGACCACTCGGACTTTTTTCTGTCGCTGTGTTTCTATATTTCTACACTCAGACACAAAAGCTAAGGAAAAAAAAACAAACAAAAAGAAACACCCCCCCCCCCAAAAAAAAAAAAGCGGGCATGGTCTTTTTTTCTGTTGTAATTTTTCTATATTCAGACAAAAAAGTTAACAAAAAAAAAACAGAGAAAAAAAAATACAGGCAGACTCGATGGACCACTCAGACTTTTTTCTGTCAATATGTTTCTATATTTCTACACTCAGACAAAAAAGCTAAGGAAACCCCCCCCCCCCCAAACCCCCCCCCCCCCCCCCCCCCCCAAAAAAAAGGCATGGTCTTTTTTTTCTGTTGTAATGTTTATATATTCAGACAAAGTTAACAAAAAAAAAAAAAAAGAAAAAAAAAAAACACAGGCAGACTCGATGGACCACTTGGACTTTTTTCTGTCGCTATGTTTCTACACTGAGACAAAAAAGTTAAGAAAAAGAAAAACCACAAACCCCCCCCACCCCAAAAAAAAAAAAAAGCAGGCCTTCTGAACTACTACACCACCATGTGATTGTGTGTCAGCTCCACTCCAGTGACACCACATGATTGAATGAAGATTTCACAAGTGTCGGCTCCACTCCAGTGACACCACATGATTGAATGAAGATTTCACAAGTGTCGGCTCCACTCCAGTGACACCACATGATTGAATGAAGATTTCACAAGTGTCGGCTCCACTCCAGTGACACCACATGATTGAATGAAGATTTCACAAGTGTCGGCTCCACTCCACTCTATTAACTTTATTTCTGTCTCTGTTCTACCAGTGACACCACATGATTGAATGAAGATTTCACAAGTGTCGGCTTCACTCCAGTGACACCACATGATTGAATGAAGATTTCACAAGTGTCGGCTCCACTCCAGTGACACCACATGATTGAATGAAGATTTCACAAGTGTCGGCTCCACTCCAGTGACACCACATGATTGAATGAAGATTTCACAAGTGTCGGCTCCACTCCAGTGACACCACATGATTGAATGAAGATTTCACAAGTGTCGGCTCCACTCCAGTGACACCACATGATTGAATGAAGATTTCACAAGTGTCGGCTCCACTCCAGTGACACCACATGATTGAATGAAGATTTCACAAGTGTCGGCTCCACTCCAGTGACACCGCACAAAAAAAAAGTTCAAATGAAAAAAAAAAAAAATACAAAAATAACCAAGCAGACTTGATGGACCACTCAGACTTTTTTCTGTCACTATGCTTCTGTGTGTCTATACTCAGCCAAAAAAGTTAATGAAAAAAAACACAAAAAACAACCCCCCCCCCCCCACACACACAAAAAAAAACCCAAAAAACAGGCAGACTTGATGGACCACATGGTCTTTTTGCTGTTGACATTTTTCTATACTCAGATAAAAAAGTTAACAAAAAAGTTAGCAAACCCCCCCCCCCCCCCAAAAAAAAAAAAAACAGCGAAACTCAATGGACCACTTGGACTTTTTTCTGTCACTAAGTTTCTATGTTTATACAGACAAAAAAGTTAATGGAAAAAAAAAACACAAAAAACAAACAACCCCGCCCAAAGAAAAAAAAAAATAGGCAGACTCGATGGACCACATGGTCTTTTTTCTGTTGTCATTTTCTATACTCAGACAAAAAAAGTTACCAAAAAAAAAAACCACCACACAAACCTTCCCCCCCCCCCCAAAAAAAAAAGAAAGAAAAATCGATAGAACACTCTGACTTTTTTCTGCCGCTATGTTTCTATACTCAGACAAAAAAGTTAATGAAAAAAAAACACACAGAAAACAACCTCCCCCCCCCCAAAAAAAAAAAACCCCAAGAAATTGGGCATACTCAATGGACTACATGATCTTTTTGTTGTTGTCATTTTTCTATACTCAGATGAAAAAGTTAACAAAAAAAAACACACAGAATAACCCCCCCCCCCAAAAAAAAAAAAAAAAACAAAAAAAAAACAAGCATACTCGATGGACCACTCAGACTTTTTTCTGTCGCTATGTTTCTATATGTCTATATTCAGACAAAAAATTTAAGGAACACCCCCCCCCAACACCCCCCCCCCCCAAAAAAAAATTAATTAATAAATAAACGGGCATGCTCTTTTTTTCTGTTGTCGTTTTTCTATACTCAGACAAAAAAGTTAAGGAAAAAAAACACAAAAAAAATAACACCC